TTTTGTAGATAAATATATAAAAACATAAACAAACATTCAGAATACCATCTTATTATCATTCGTTTTTTAGTTTGTAAAACATAAACTATAATTTTACTTTTTCAATTTTCAGTTCTTTATTTTCTTAATTCAAATATATTTTTTTAATATGGATTTTTCAAAACTAAAGGTTTTTTACTTTTTAGAGTGTAATTAGGTGTGTATGTATTCATCTCAATTTATACCGAACCCGACATCGAGCCATCCCAAATCCATTAAATCGAATACTACAATTCATCTAGTTCAACTATCCAATATCATTTGAATATTTACATTCACATCGTTATAAATTCCGATTAAGACATAGACAATCTCATCTGATTTTTTGTAGTTCTGATCTAATCTGATCTGATTTGATTGGATTTGATCTGAACTAATTGGATGTGATCTGATCTAGTCTGATCTGATTCGATCTGATATGATTAATTATGATTTGATTTAAAATTCAAATCAATAGTTTTATCTCACTTTATAATAACTTTTGAAAATTGTAATGATCATTTATATTATAATATTATCAATATTTGTTATTTTATGATTATTTTTTAATGAAATAAAATTAGTTAATTCATATATTAGAATTATCATTCATATTATAATGTAATTATATTTTTTATTTTATGAAATAAGAATATTGATTTAATATTTTAATAATTAGTTCATATATACATCCAAATAAATATTTAATTCATATATACATTAAAATGTAATTAAATTTAGATAATTAATATATAGAAGAGATAATATTTTTATTAAAATATCTCATCCTTATAAAATATCAGCGTGTGTTTTGTACTACGAAACTTTTTTATGATTAATATATATAACACCATAGATATAATAGTTATTTGAGTGACATTAAAATATACTCCGTATATGAATATCAAATGTTAATTTTATTTAAGTCGTGATCAAAGCTAATTAACTCAATGTAGTAAAAGATCAAAACTTTAGAAACTCAAATTACAGGTAGTAATAAAAATGTATTTTAAAAGTAGAATTAGATTGTCATTGTCAATGCATGTATTTTAAAAACAATTTTTCTAACGTCTAATAATTTAATCCTTACTTTCTTAGTTTTCTATTTAACTTGTTTCTAAAGTTTTTTCTTTTTCATTTTTAATAATAATAACAACAACAACAACAACAATGATAATAATAATAATAATAATTCTTGATTGGATCTGATCTGATCTGATTTGATTGGATCTGATCTAATGTGATCTGATCTCATCTGATTTGATTTGATTAGATCTGATCTAATCTGATCTAATGTGATCTGATCTCATCTAATTTTAATAAGAATAAAAAAAAGTAGAAAAAATAAGTTGAACGTAACGAGGTCATAATCATAACAACATGTTACAAAGAAGTCCCAACGTCTAGACTTGCTCACTTGCATAAAAAAGGTTTTTGGGACTTGATTTTGAGTAACTCAAAATTAATAATCAATTATAAATAGGTAAAATCTTTTACTGGGTTTGTTTCAGGTCACTATGAAGGTTCGGGGGTGAAAAATCGATTTTTGATACCCAAAAAGCGATTTTCGAAAAACATGGGTAATGGCAGAAGGTAAAAAAATCAATTTTCCCTTATCTCAAAATTGATAGTATTACATTGGTTCAAAAAATCTGACAAAGTATAATAAGAAAAAATGGATTTGGACACCCCCAAAATCAATTTCCAGGCAGATTTCAGAGTACCAAAAGTTCATCTTTACTACGATTTGATGCTAAATGCGTTGATATCAATTATATAAACTCCCCTATGAATATTTTGAGATGTTTAGATATATTATAAGGCTCGTTAAACACATTTTAAGCATTCTCCAAGATAAACTATCTAGGGATATCACATTCAGAATATTAACATGGTTATTGGTGAAACTAACGTATCATTGACACATGTATATATGAAATCATGCATTATAAACAATTCTAGGGAATCTAATCTTGGACATGAGTCTGGGTACAGACTTGAGAGTTGACGAACTGAGGTGAAAACAGAGGTTAATGTTGCTATCGCGTCACCCTCGCTACAGCTGGACTAGTGTTTGTATTTGGGGAATATCTCCTTCATTACAAGTCCAAATTGCTAACCATTTGAATTGGTAATTATATAAGACATAGGCCTATAACTTTCATGTATAGAGTTTCTCGAAATAACGTACGGAAGAGGGTGAAAACTATCGTCCAAGTCAGTTGAAATTTCTGCCCAAGAAAATTCAGCATCATCTTCAAACTTGATGATTTCAAAGGCCATCCCGAGAGCTTCTCTTCCTTCGTGCTTGAGTTGTTTTTGACCCCTAATCTAGGTGTAGGTGTAAAGAGCATTACGAGATCATTAAAACGCCTAAGTCTAAACTTAACAAACTATATACCGTTGTCATATTTTTACGAGATCTATCAAATCTATCTATATCTATATCTATATACTTTATTTAAAAAGAGATGAATGTTTTCCCGCCCATACATGAGACTCATACATGGAAAGTGTTGACAACACAAATGGTAGTTTAATTATTTTGCCTCAATATTTTCCTTCTATTTTAAGTATGTTTTCATTTTTATTTAAATGTTATACCATTTAAGTATTTAAATTAATTTAAATAAATTAAATAGTAGTGAACCACTAGGGAATTATAGTATGGAAATAAAATACAGTACCATTTAAATATGAAAATAAAATTAAAAAACTACCAATAAATAAAGCATGGGCGGGATTAGAATGATTTATTTCAAAAAAAACTACGTAAATATTAATTAGTTATTTAAAAAAAGTATTATAATTTATAAGCACGAACGTGTAAAAATGGTAAGTTTTCTAAAATCAATTAGAAAATAAATATGGTACGGTAAATAAATGGTAACATTTAAATAAAAAATAAAATAAAAAACTAAAAAATTAATATTAATACTATAACTTACAAGCATGGAAACGTTTTAAAAATGATAAATGTTCTAATTAGAAAATTGGACAATAAATATGGTATGGTACCGTAAGCAAATGGCACCATTTAAAAATGAAAACAAAAAAATGGTAAGTGTTCTAAAATAAATTAGGTAAGTGTTCTAAAATAAAAGAAAAAGTAAAATACATCTAAAAATGATAAGTGTTCTAAAATAAATTAGAAAACAAATGTGGTTCGGTAAGTAATTAGTACCATTTAAATACGAAAATAAAAGGTAATACTATAATGTTTTAAAAAAGGTAATTGTTTCTATTAGAAAATTAGAAAATAAATACGGTACGGTACGTCAGCACGATAAGCAAATGTTACCTTTTTGATGAAAAATAAAATAAATGTCTAGCTTTCTAAAATAAATTAAGTAAGTGTTCTAAATAAATGAGAAAATAAAATAAATATCAAAATGGTAAGTGTTCTAAAACATATTAGAAAATAATATGGTACGGTAAGTAATTTTGATATCATTTAAATACAAAAATAAAATAGAAAAACTACAAATTAATACTATTAATTAATACTACAATTTACAAGCATGGAAACGTGTAAAAATGGTAAGAGTTATCAAATAAATTAAAGATAAATACGGTACAGTAAGTAAATGGTACCATCTAAATGCAAAAATAAAAAAATTATACTCCGTAAATTAATACTATAAGCACGGAAACATGTAACAATGGTAAGTATTCTAAAATTAATACTATTAATACTATAATTTACAATCATGGACACGTGTAAAAATGGTAATTGATCTCAAATAAAAAATAAATACATTAGGGTAAGTAAATGGTATCATTTAAATACGAAAATAAAATTTAAAAAAAACTACAAATTCCAAAATAAATATGTTAATATGTTTAATTATTACTTAGATAAGTCAATTATTGAAATTTTGTCAGGGACAATATGTGAAACATGTTGAATTTTTGTTACAGAAACCTATACTTAGTCATGGGCAAGTGTATATTGCAGTTTCAGGAATAATAAATCGCAATGACTAGAAGATCCTGATATGCAACGACATGAATGCTCACACGAATTATATGAGTAATGTAATTTATAAAGAAGTCTTTCAAAATTTGTAGTCATTTTATTTTTGTACATTAAAATAATAAAATTTCTACATTCCAATATATACCAATTTATATTTTTAAAAATGATCTTAATTTAGTAACGTAACTATGACCCGTGCAGCGCACGAGTGTGATAGTACTAGTGAGTCAAATTTTGAATAAAAAAGTAGATGTTACAAGTACTCTGTAGTTTATCTTTTTGGGCCTGGAAATAAATTAAAGTATTACAGTATATATTATTTTTATGAAGATAACAGCTAAGTACTAAGCAGGCCTTCATGGTGTTACACCCACATTTCTTATACAACTTATCAATTATCATATCATATCTATTAACTATTAATCTATTCATAACATTATATTCTAGTCAAAATGAGAATTTTTTTTAAACAGAGAAAATTGGAATGTTTTTTAAAAAAACGCACACTTCATTTGTTTCAAATTAAAAAATTTCATTGTTTATCCAAAAGAGGTTTGTATTGATTCTCGCACTCGAACTCGATCCCGCTCTATGTGATCTAGAGCATAGCCCATTAAAAGTGGAGTGTGTGTAGGGAAAGGCATAACCAAAAGTACTCTTTGGATTTACTTTCTTCCTCTTTAATGACACTTTCCTACGTACAATCTTGTCTAGAAATTCAAGAGATCGATCAGGATTCTATTCTTTCAACACACAAGTCTCAAGCCTCAAGCCAAGAAGCCTTTCTCATTTGGACATCATCAAATTAAACCTTCTTTCAAGCCTTATTACAATTGAAGAGCCATATATAAATGTACATGTTGCATTATATGCATGGCCATAACTAATAAATAAACCATTTAATTAATTAACTGCCCATTTCTTCATACCCAAAACCATATAATAATATGGGAAATCTAATAAATCCAATCTACATTTTCATTTTATTGTCCATAATGTTCCACGGAGCCAAGCCTCAATACCAAACACAACCCTACTTGTATTGCATAAGTGCATGCGAAACTTGCCCTAGAGTGTGCGGCACCCCTCCCCCGGGAGGAGCCTCCGACCCGCCACCACTTCAGCCGCCGCCGCCGCACATGCATTCCCCGACGCCCCCAGGCGGAGCCTCCGAGCTGCCACCGCCGCCGCACTCGCATTCCCCGCCAAAATCGCCGCATTACTATGCCGCACCGCCGGGGCCGAACGGAGTGTACATCACCCCAATAAAACCGCCGTCCCCTAACGCCCAAAACAGCCCGCCGTTAGCTCCGAACCTCCCCCTCACACCGCCGTCGACGCCGCCTCCTCCTCTCATCTCAGTGATTTCGCCTCCCTCCCAACCGAATACTTATCCGCCACCGCCACACTCTACGGCGAAGCCGCCGCCTCTCATTTCACCTCCGGCGGCTTATCTGCCGCCGCCGCAGCTTCCCACCACGCCTCCTCCGTCTCCTCCGAATAGTTCGCCGCAGGGAGGTGGTTCTGGGCAATACTATTTCAACATCTCTGAGGCAGCTACAAAAACGCCACGTGGACCAATTATTTTTGCACTGCTGATTTGCTTCAGAATTTTCGGATTTTTTATATCATGATAATAGCGTTACATATATTTACATGATTGCTTCCATTACCTTTAATTAATAATTAAGATGCACTGTAATATAGTTATGTGAATTAACTTAGCTGTGTATATATCTTTGTTATTGATGTAAATGTATCAAAATAAGGAGTATTAGAATTACAATATCATAAATATATTTTATAAATAGTGTCTTAGAAGTAATTTTTAATATTTAGTTCTTCAGTCTAATATATTATACTCTCTCCGTCCTTGAGTATTTGTCCACTTTTGACTTTTTTCGGTCAAAATTGATAAACTTTGACCTCAAATTAAATAAAAATGATATTTGATATTGATACAAAAATAATTTTATTAGATTTATTATATCAAATATTTTCAAAATATTATTTTATCTAATTAATATTTAATATATATTTTATTTAATTATAAGTCAATGATTGAAAATAGTTGACCGAAAAAAGTCAAAACTAAACAAATCTTCAATGACGGAGGTAGTATATATTTGTGGTCCTCAATTATTTATGAAATTACTCCATTAAAGTTTTTAAGTTAAATTAGACCTGATAATTTTTTCATATATACTTTCCAAATGATTGATTATAAAATAGTACATAGCTTTAAAATTTGACAAATTCTTATATAATCTTAAAGTCTAAACTCATTTATGGATCTAAGTATATTTGAGAATTTGTTTTTTTGCAAAAAAAAAAAAATCAACTTGTTAGTCAATGAAAAATTTAAAAAATCCATCTTTAATGATATTAAAAGCACTGAAGAACAACACTAAAAATTGGGTGCCATGAAATTAGTGCATCTCAAATAAAAATTAAATTCACGACCTCGTCGTTCCATATTGTTGTATGACTTGTGTCGATTTGGACTGCTCCATATTTGATATCGCAATTATCCCCAACAATTTGAAGTCCATGAGCCGACTCAAGGTGGGCTAATTAGTAATTTCTCTAGCAGCCACCTACGTGATTTAATTTGAAATGACCAATTTTTAAGACTTATTTATATTAATTTGAACGGGTCAAACTTTATTTACTTTATTTGCATAGATTTATCCCATATTTCATACGATAATACATTATTTTATGTCCTTTCTCGTTTTGAAGATTTTTATGTAAATTTTAATTATTAAATACTCCATCTGTCTCAAATTATAATGCTTGTTCACTATTCACAGGGTCAAACTTTATTCATTTTCTTTCTCTATTTTTGTTAGCAATTTGATAAAATAAAATATTGTTGTCACTACTAGTTTTATAGATCTTTTGATTAGTATTTTGATATATAATTTTTATTTTTTAACTTTATATCATTTGTCATATAAAATGATTTGAAAATAACTTCAGTCAAACATCGTAAACCGAAACCGGCATTATAAACTAGGACGAAGGGAATATTTATTTTTAAATTTCTCATTATTTTTTATAAAAAATAATTTAAAAATAACTTAAATAAGATACTCAATATTCAATAATAGTTAGACCTGACAAAAAGTGACCCGACCTGTTTTTGACCCGAAACCCGACTTGAAAACACTGGGTTTTGAACAAAAGTTTTGATGACTGAACCCGAAATGACCCGCTAAAAATGGGTCAACCCCGACCGAACCCGAACCCGACCTGACCGACCCGCTAAAGTAAGAATTTTTCAAAATTGTACACTTTTTTACTCGTTTTTAGTGTATAAATTTATATTTTCAGACAAAATTTTAATGATATTGCATAATTATCTTACTTTTTCCCCAAAACATAAGCATTTTTAAATTCCTTATATTGAGTTTTATATCTAAATACTACTTTAGAGTTTAAAATAAAATAATTTTATAGATTTAATACTTTTTTTTGATATTTTAAATTTATTAATGTGAATTTAAAAATTTAAATAACCAAAGTCATAACTCGTTGGGTCGACCCGAACCCGTGACACTGGGTCATGAACATAGAGTTCTCAACCCGAACCCGAATTGATCCGAACCCGAAATAACCCAAACTTGAAGTGACCGAACCCGAACCCGACCTGACCGACTGATTTGCCAGTTCTAATAATAGTCATGGAAGAGTTATATCAAGGCCCCACACTAGAAAAATACGGAATAGAATACCAAGTATACGCAAACCTACTTCGTCCCAGGTGGCCGGGTGGGCAATCAATCATATCCCGGCGAATGGATCCGAATCCCCTCCAGACATCTTCGCCGGAGGCGGAGGAGCTACATCCGCCGCCACCTAAAATTCAGATATATCCCACTTCTACCGGCGTAATTTCGTCTTTCTGGAAAGGCAGATCTCTCTCTCTCTCTCTCTGTAAATAATTTGTTCGAATTCTTGCTCAGATTTCTTTTACTAAATCGGTAAAGATTTGATTTTTATTTTCTCCGGCTGGGCAGAGAAGTATGAAAGAGACGCCAAGAAGTACTGGGAAATCTTTTACAAACGCCACCAAGATAAAGTATGCTTCTCTAATGCATATTTATCTACAAATTTGTCGTAGTTTTACTGGAATTTTATTTTTCTAGGCAGCTGCCCAGAAAAAAAATCCATTTTTGAGGTACATTTTGGAAGTGTTTGATGTTCTTGTATATAAAAGATTTCTTGGGCATCGGAACCCTTCTTGAGTGAGTTGTATTAGAACTTTGCTGACCCTTCTTGGTAGTTGTAACAAGTCTTGTTGATAAGTTCAAATTTTGTTGAAAATCTCGGGTGCACACGAGGGTGATTTTGGAAAGTCCCAATTTTGTTGTATTCAAATATATAAAATCTTTTATAGGCATCCAGCCATAGGATTGAACTTTTGGTTGAATTGGTTCCGTAACATTTGAGTGGCTGGTTTCTTTGTATGCTTCAATCTTTCTATTTTACTTGCTGAGCTACTTGCATCAACTAGAGAATTACAGTGAGATTTTCATGTGAATTGTTGCTGCTTTCCCATTCACTTGTTGGGCTTTTTAGAAAGGTTAATTTTCGATGATTTTCAATGCAAAACATTGACAATTTTCAAATGGGATGCTGATTTTTTTTACATTTTGTAATAAAACTGTTATTCAGTTTTTCAAGGACAGGCACTACTTGGACAAGGAATGGGGTCACTACTTTTCTGTGAGTGCCTAACACCAATTGCAAGAACTATACTTTATTTTTATCTAATTTAGTCCATTGTATATATAGTCATTGCTTCCATTTGTTCCAAATCTTTGCAGGGTACTGGAGGGAAAGTAATCCTTGAGGTAAATTACATAAATGGTGGTCACATTGTGGTTTATACTGTATTTTAGCATCCATTATCCCCTAAATATTTTTCCTTGTTTGATTGAAACTACAATTTTCTTCTTACTATGTCGATGAAATTTACTAGTTGAAAACTGGTCTAGGGGTTGAAATGGGTTTTTACTTTAAAAAAGTGTCTGCTTGACCTATATTGATTCTTATAGTCATGTTATTTCTAGGTTGGCTGTGGTGCTGGAAACACCGTCTACCCCTTGCTTGCTACATATCCAGATATATTCGTGCACGCATGTGACTTTTCACCACGAGCTGTTAACTTGGTTAAGGTAGATACTTCCAATGGAAAATGACATTTTTCAAGTTTTCAACCATTTCTATTGTGATTTGGCACTTCAAAAAGATATTTACGACAATAACCCTTGATGCTGTTACTGCCTAAAACTTCATAGAACGTACCCAAAGCTAAGGAAGTTTAATGTGCCATTTTATTTAGTCCATTATGAACCCAAAGCTAAAACATTGTGAAAAATTGACTATTCTAGCTCCATTGGCAATGGGTGCACAATTGTTTCTAATAAATATTTGTTTTTTTAAATTTTTATTCCAGTTCCAACTTATACATGTTCAAACAACACTACTTTTAGTAAAATCCCATTCCAAGTCTCTTATTTAAACTCAACACGACAACACCTCCATTCTTTCCTCCGTACTTCATATATGGGTAATAAGGTACTTTTTCTGAATAAATTGCAGACACGCAAGGACTTTGAAGAGACCAGAGTCAATGCGTTTGTTTGTGATTTGACCGCCGATGACCTGTGCCAGCATATTTCTCCTTCTTCAGTGGATATTGTGACCATGGTATTGGAATTAAGATACCCAAACTGCAATCAGTTTTCTCTCTAATATTTGTTTGGGGAGTTTTGTTCTTTACATGCATATTACTATATTCCTATATTACCCTTTTCGTGAGCTGATGAACTTAAGACTTTTTTAAATACTTAATACATACGCTGACTAGTTACACAGATATTTGTTTTATCTGCAGTAACCCCTGAGAAGATGTCAGTAGTGATTCAGAACATAGGAAAAGTTCTCAAGGTTTAGTTCAAGCTCGCCTCATAAATCTTTACTTCACTTTCAAAGGCATTAGCTTGCCTGTGTTTTTTCGTCGTAATCTTTTTTTTTGCTTTCCAGCCAGAAGGTTTTGTCTTGTTTCGTGACTATGCAACCGGAGATCTGGCGCAGGTTAAAGCTCCCTTAATCATTTGGCACTTTGTTACATCTCTTGTTACCACTTTATCTTTGTTACTTACATAGTACTTTGCAGGAAAGATTAATCTTAAAGGAGCAAAAGATCAGCGATAACTTCTATGTTCGGGGTGATGGAACTGTAAGTTTTTTGTGTCGCAGATACCGATGTTTCTTGAAGCAAAATCTCTCTTTTTTTGTTGTAAATTCAAAAGACATCTTTACATAGTACTCCTTAATATTTAACTACACCAGCGGGCATTCTACTTTTCTGAAGAGTTCTTGTCCAATCTTTTCAAAGAGAATGGATTTGAGACTGAAGAACACGTTTTGTGTTTTAAACAAGTGGAGAATCGTTCAAGGGAAATCGTGATGAATAGGTAATCAAATCAATAAATGCATTTCTTTGCACTGACCGTGCGAGTTTTTGATCCTCGTCATCAAGTCATCTATTCTCTCCAAATCTCTCCCTTTAAAATTACTACTAACATGTCTAGGTGGTTTTGAATTGTGATCTCAGATGTTGGGTTCAAGCCGTGTTCCGTTTGGGTTGTGGCGAACCTGCTGCGAAAACTGAGAGCAAGGTGAAACGCATTAGTATGGAAGGCAATA